GAGTGATAAGAATAAAAAAAACCCTCTGGACAAAGTATGGTAAAATGAATTTAGAGAGAAAATATGCTTAATTGTTATAAAAATGTCCCATGTTCTTATTTTTTCATTTTGATTATGTAAAATATGACTGAGGTGTTTTCATGAGATTTTCCAATACAAGGTCAAACACAAGTACGGATATAAAAGGAGCGAGGAAACAAACAGTATGCATCTATCCCACGTCTATCATGGAACATTTGCAGCTTTCAGATGCTTTATACATCTGAGTGTGTGCTTATGTGCGGGGACGTTCAGAGAGAAAAGCAAATACTCTAGAGAATATTTTTGATGGCCCAGCTTTCCTCGCAAACGAGATCCATAGGTCCATCTGCCCTGCATTTAAAAATCAATGCTTCTCAGCACCAGCTAGGGAGGAAGATGGGGGAGTGTTTTAGTGGGAGAGGAGACCTGAAAAGTCTTTGCCGTTTCCTGTATGAGGTCAGACTGCATGATGTCATAATGGACTCGTTACATGCGCGTTACGGAAACTCATTAATGCCATTTGAGTGTAGGAAGAATCCTTCCTGAAAAAGAGCAACCATTACGGCTTAAACAGAAACGCTCCCACAAACAAAAACAATGTGCACTTTGTTGTCTAGGCTGGTATCTTTTCAGCAGGGGCACAGGAATGCTGGGCCCCCATACAATGAGTATGGTACAGTGCCGCTCAGTGTGACTGTAAGGGTGCACATGTAACAAGCCAGATTTCCAGCTTCTCCACCATGCATACGGCAATCAGAGGACCGATCGATACAATTGCTGTCTATGGGGAACACAAAATCAATAGCTACCATTTATCACCAGCTCGCCTTACAGATGCACATGGAGGGACATTCATGTCAAGTGTTACAAAACACTGAACTGCTATAATATAAGGAGATCATTGAGAAATGAGAAAGACAGGGATAAAAAGGTAGAAAGAGCTTGAGAAACAGACAGCTTGAGAAAACCGAAAAAAGTGAGAGAGAGACATAAGAAGGGTGTAGAATCGGGGGGAGGCATGACACTCACTTGACATGGTAGATTTTCATCTTCTCCTGTGGAGTCCTCCAAGACATGATGGGGCTCCGTCTGTCATGTGAGAGAAAAGTGAATATGGAAAATCAGTGTCTCACGAAGCACTGGGAATAGAAAACACAATATAATGTGTTAAAGGTCTGAACTGCACTGAACACAGTAGCGCATGTCGCATAGTCAAACCTTTGACTAACGGCGTAATGCCTGGTTCACATTGTGGATTATTCTGGCCAAGAACTGCCAACTTAGACACACAAGAGACCATCTGACCAGCACAGATCAACCACAGCTCATTCTTTATTATTTATGTGCCACATAGTGCAAGAATAAACAAGCTCTATGAACTTTGGGACGAGAATTTCTTAAGTCCAAAAGTTATAAGCACTGGCTATTTCATTTTATAACTCAAAACAAATTGGAAAACGTGCTTCAGATAAAACTGTTTCAAAGGTTTAATGTCTCTAATATATAATTGATTATTTTTAAACTATTTTTAACCTTATTTTCATGTTACAGTCAATACCCAATAAATGGGCAATTTTGTCTAATACTGTTTTGTCTAAATAAATTGAAAACATCACAAGGCACTAAAATCAATCTTTTTAAATGCTGAATTAAAAGTGAATTTAGGCATCACAACATTATAATCAGTATTAAAAAATAGATATTCATTTTTAGATTTGCTAAACATTACATAACAGTGTTATAAAAGTTACTAAGGTTTTTATAGATTAACTTTGCGTGATGAATATGGAAGAAAAAATTAAATAAAATTGGTAAAAACATTAGTCAACCACAACATTAACATTTATTTATAAATGTATGACAGTCTAAATGATCAGAAAGGCAAATTTTTGATATAAGAACTCAATTATGACATAAAAAGCTACATTTTACAAGTCATAGTTATGACTTTTTATGACATAATTGTAACATTTAGTTTTTCTCATATTATGACCTAGTATATAATAATTACACATTTTATAACTACACATTTTATTAAAAATAAGTAGGGTTTTTAAAGATTAACTTTGAGTGATGAATATGGAAGCCCACTGCCACCACATGAGAAAAAAGCCATCTTTTAGTAAATCCTAATTATGACAGTAAAAAGTCATAAACATGACAAACATTTATTTATGAATTTATGACAAAAAGTCTACATTTTTCACAAAGTTTTTGAGATAAGAACTCATAATTACAAAAAAGCCACATTTTACAATGTCATAATTATTTTAAAAACATAATTCACATTTTGTTTTTCTCATATTATGACTTGATTTTTGATCGATGACACGATTTTATTTTTCTGATGTGTAAAATGAGCTTCACAGTAAAGACAAACACTTACATGAACACTTAAATATCAAATATTCTATGTGACCACTACCGATAAATCAAAAATCTCTCAGTCAATAACAAATATGGTACCAAGCATCCCTAACCTGACAAATAGTTATATTACCAACTGGTACCTGGTTTACCAACACTCCCGGATGTTGTGCTGCTGTCTGACAATCTGATTGGAGCTTTTGAATTTCACAAGTGCTTTTCAGTTTTGTATAAAATATGAATCATCAGATGGTCATCGAACTGACTGTGGGTGGTCTGTAGGTGGTCCGTCTGAGACGACACTGAACATAACAATCGCAGTGTGGATGAGTTTCTAAGAGCGATACAAAGCCTTGATTACTACAGCAGACACACACTCGTGCCAGTATGAACATCTGCTCCTCTGCACCAAATGACAGTGGTGGAACGTCTCGTTAGACCGGGCCTACATGCTGTCATTGACTGTTTCGGGTTAATTAGTCAAGGTGGCGACTCAGACGGGCCGATCTGTCACCACGCGGGAGTGAAACTGACGGATGGCCCGTGATCATCTTCTGCCTGGAAGGGAACATTGTGTTACCTGCCTCTCTTTTCTCTCTGTCTCTTTCACATACCATCTCAGCAGCTTTACAGCAGACTTTATTACATGTGGATCAATGGGGTTGTAGCAGTAATTTCTGAACACTGTGCTATTCCAGAGTAGATGACAGAGCAGGCTGGACTGAATATGAGTTTTTCTAACCTACTGGATAAGCCTGCAGTAATTTGCATGTATGTTATTGAATTCAAAGAATTGTTACCCTTTGCAAATCAGCGTGGGAAAAGTCAAAGTAAGGGGTATTGAATTTTCAGTAAATTTTCAGCGATGAAATTAATCAAAGAAGCAACAGAAGCATTTTACATGTTACACTCTTAAAAATAAAGGTGCTTAAAAGTAGGGATGGCTCGATACCACTTTTTCAGAACCGATATCGATCCGATACCAAAAATTCTGCGTATCTGTCGATACCGATATCGATCCGATACCAGCGCAGTTTTTTTTAAATGAGTGTAGAATTTCTATACCTCAATGTGTAGGTCGATCATCACTCTTTTGTATGTTACACACAATCTACTAAATATAGACAGCTTCATTATAAAGAAAAAATAACAAACAAAAAAATATAATCAAAATTATGGTGCTTTATAATGTTTTTGTGGCTTTCGTGGGGCTTAATAATAACACAGAATAGTATACGCACTATATCGGATTGGGATCGGTCTCGTCTGACCGATACCCCGATCCAGCAGAAAATGTCAGTATCAGAGCGATACCGGTACTGAATATCGGATCGGCGCACCCCTACTTAAAAGGTTCTTCACAGCGATGCCATAGAAGAACCATTTTGGTTCCACAAAGAACCATTCAGTCAAAGGTTCTTTAAAGAACTATCTCTTTCTTACCTTTTTATAATCTGAAGAAAAAATGTCCATAAAAATTAACTGCAGTGGGAAAATGTTAACCCCTAAACTCCCACTTTCCTGTTTTTACATTAGAAGCGGCATTTTGCTTGTCAGAAATACGTGTTTGGTTTTAATGTTACTTTAAGTTGGGGTAGAATTAAATGAATGCCAAAACTCAAGAGTTTTGTTCTCGTACCCCCTCCGTCACCTCACGTAGCCCAGTTTGAGAACCACTGTTCTATTCTACACTGTAAAAAATGATTGTGATTTGAACAGTAAAAGACTGTAAAAATGTTACAGTAAAAATCTGTTAACTGGTTAACAGCAAGTTTCCATACTATATATGGTGAATAAATGTAATTACATTTAATGTAATTTTACAGTAAAATACTGTTAAAAATATGGTTGCAGTCGCCCCTCGCGCCAGTCGCCCTCCCTCTCTCTCTCTCTCTCTCTCGCGCGCTCTCTCTCTCTCGCCACTGTCCCCTTTTGACAGAAAAACACGTTCACGCTCTCTATTCACTTCCGCTTCTTTCAGTATGACGCATCGGATTGGCTGATATGCATGTCAATCATTCTCAGAGGGTGGGGCTGAAGCTGTGGCGCTCATAGACGGGCAGGTGAGAGCGCAGTGCATTCTGTGATCTGAGCTGACACGTTTTTATATAATAATTACATTAAATTAATATATTTTCTGTATGGAAGCTAGCAAATGTGTACGGTCAGCTATATGATCCGTACATTTAGGCCTAGCTTCACCTATTCAGACTTTGCATTATTTCTTCCTCTACATGCAACCATAAATGAAAATAATTTATGATCATTTTAATAGTTATTTCTTAAGTCCATTCCAATGAGCAGTACATCTCTTTTGCTTACAATGAAATCTACTATGCGCATGAATTTAACAATCCTGCGTAGTATGTGTACACTCGTCAATATGTAGACTGATTTATAATCATCACATTTTTGTGGGTATCAAATTACATTGGAATGTACAGTATGTAAGAAAGCGCCCTGTCAGCTTTGATTTGACGCTTGATTCACGCAGGTGGAGAGTGCGACCTTCTGGTGAGTCTGGTAATTTCTTTTGTGTGTTTCAGTGACTCGGGACTTTGCATTCATTCGGTGGCGAGCACTCAACACAACTGACACAAATGTAAGCCAAATTATTACATATTTATTAATTCCATCCATTTTAGTGTTCTGAAATCCAGAATACAGGTTACAGGGCAAATGTGCTGACTAATATTTGCATAAGCTTAGATGCTAGTGAGAGTTTTGGTAGGCTACTAACAGAAATGTAGGCTTTGGGATATTATATTAAAATGACAAATGAACTCATAATTCAAGAAATTACAGCACCACACTACTATAGGACATGAAAATTGTATCATTGTTACAAATAATTTTTAATAGGCCTACATTTCATTCATAGACCTTTGATTTCACATTTCACGTTTACAAGATGATGCCCATTCATTTATTCATAATCTATTTTTCCAGTATTGCTCTAAATATTTATTGCTGTACATTATGCTATGTTTCCTAATATATTAATAGTCTGCCAAACTGATTGCTAATTAGAGAGGCAATAACAGTGGTTATGGAATGTAATTATGACTTTATGGATAAACAATTTCATCCATCTTTTTGTGCGTATAGGTTTAGGAACAGAGCTCCCGTCCGTACTATGAGGAATGAAGTGCTGAATTATCAGCAGGTTCTTTAGCTGATGGATTTCAGCTTCATCCAAGGGTTGGTGCCTCTGACCTCTAAAGGTGCATCATTGTAGAAGATGTGGTTGCACAAATCCTCCAGTGGGGGCTCTGGATCAGAGGTAGCAAACTGTGCTGCTTCTTCTATCTCCTTACGAATCTCAGCATCAATGTCCTGTCATGGTACAGTTGGTGTTAACCCTCTAGTATTCATTAAGTACCCGGTAATGCATCAAGTACCTTGATCTCTTCCAGGCTAGCCATGTTGTTACTAATCATACGATCCTTCAGCATAGTGATAGTGTCACTCTTACTGCGAACTTCCTGAATCTCCTCACGTGTGCGATAACTAAGAAGAGAAAAGCACGGATTTAGAGTACAGAAAATTGTGAGCTCACTGAAATGATGCTCAAACTACTTAAAACTAAAGAGGAAGGACTGTGATTATGGAGGTTAGCAGATGAGGATAGGGTTTTAAATGAACCGAGGAAGGATGAGCGCCTGCCATGGGAGGAAGGTTGAAGGTCAACCTCACCTGACCCCAGGATCGCTCATGCTGTGGCCATGGTAACGATATGTCTGGAGCTCCATTAGTATGGGACCCTGAAGAGCACAGGCCAAACATTTGCCCACCAGTCACAGACCGGATCTCCCAACAATCACTTTCGTTTACAAAACTAGCCTGTGCTTAAAGGAAAAGTTCCCCCCAATATGAACATTTGCTGTAAATTTACTCACCCTCAAGGCATCCAAGATGTAAATGAGTTTGTTTCTTCATGGAAACAGATTTGGAAAAATTTAGCATTACATCACTTGCTCACCAATAGATCCTCTTTAGTGAATGGGTGCCATCAGAATGAGAGTGCAAACAGCTGATAAAAACATTGCAATAATCCACAAGTAATCTACACGACTCCAGTCCATCAAAAAGCTGTGTATTTGTAAAAAAAATCAAAGAATTTCAAATTGCTTCTGGCTAAAATACAACTCCATAATGTTGCTTTCTCCAGTGAAAAAGTAATTTAATCTGAATCAGGAGAGAAATATACACAGATCAAGCACAAAGCACGAACAGTTTTAAACAAATATGTTGGTGGATTTTGATGTAAGATTACTTTTTCACTGGAGGAAACTGTTATTATGGATTATTGTGGTATTTTGACCAAAAGATTGAAGTTAAAATTTCTTAATGATACATTTGTTTATCACAAACATGCAGCTTTTTACTTCACAAGACATTAGTTTTAGAGTCATAGAGTCTTGTGGATTATTGTGATGTTTTATCAGCTTTTTTGACTCCCATTCTGATGGCACCCATTCACTCTAGAGGATCCATTGGTGAGCAAGTGATGTAATGCTACATTTCTCCAAATCTGTTCTGAAGAAAAAACAAAATCTACATCTCGTACAGCCTGAGGGTGAGTACATTTTCAGCAAATGTTCTTTTTAGGGTGAACTACTCCTTTAAAGGTGTATATGACTTTCTTCTTTCAGACGAATCCAGTCGGAGTTATATAAAAAATTGTCTTTGATCTTTCAAGCTGTTTTATGGCACTCAGTGGGTGTTGCATGCATCAGTCCAAAAGAAGTTAAATAAAAAGCGCCCGGAAGCGCAGGGGAGAGATCAAAACAAAAAAACGGTCACTAATTAGAAGTACAAAACAAGGATTTGTAAAGAATGTCGGAGGATTTCGATATAAGCTAAGAGGAGACTGGTTTTCCTTTGCTAAAGTAAGGAAACTTTGCTTCCTTTGCTCCTGTTAACAAACGTTGGTTTTCACGAGACTCAGCGGCGCATGCGCAACGCCGACCTCATACCTCATCAGCCCGGAGCTGCTTCCGTGTACAACTGTTGGCGCAAGCTACATTAAAGTGATTATTACGTTTTGAATATGGATATTTTTCTTACAAAAACGCATCGATTCGCTACAGAAGGCCTTTGTTCACCCCCCGGAGCCATGTGAGACACTTTTTTTTATGGATGGGCGCTTTTTATTTAACTTCTTTTGGACTGATGCATGCAACACCCGCTGAGTGGCATTAAACAGCTTGAAAGATCAAAGACAATTTTTAATATAACTCCAACTGGATTCGTCTGAAAGAAGAAAGTCATATACACCTAGGTTGACTTGAGGGTGAGTAATTTATGGACTAATTTTCATTTTTGTGTGAACTAACCCTTTAAATCTATTACCTCTCCTTGACTTGTTAAGCAAGTAAAATATGTCACTTTTCTTTTACCTTTCCAGATCTGCAATAATCTGCCGCAAACCTGGTTGCCTCTCTCACGCTGAGAACATCCATACCATCCACCTGGAGAAAACAAAGAAACAGGCTTGACTTATTTGCTCATTTGCTTGACTTGTGTACCTTTTATGTACTTCTGTATACATTTGCATGCACTAGTGAACATAAAAACAGGATGAGGCAGCTAGAAAAACTAAAAACGAAAAAAAAAAAGTTACCCTCAGACCAGGAATGTAGTCTCCTCTCTTGTAATAATCTGTGCTGGCTGAGGCCCGTTCCACTGATGTCCCCATGCCATATTTATTATTCTCACAGATGAAAATACAGGGGAGTTTCCACAAAGCTGCCATGTTAAACGACTCAAAGATCTGGCCCTGATAAAGAGATTAATCAGATAAGACATTATTTTGCAACAGCAGGTCGCACGCAAACCTGTGAACACATGGAGGAAAAGTTGCTCTCACCTGATTAGCAGCTCCATCCCCATACAGAGTGACACAAACCTCATTCTTACCCTGATACTGGCATGCCAGGGCCACACCTGCCCCAAGAGGAACCTTCAAAACAGTGAAATTTACATTTAGAAATGCCTGACGTAATATTCTTGTAAGCTATGATGTGTGCATCTCACCTGTGAAATTTAGATTTAGAAATGCCTGTTGTAATATTCTTGTAAGCTATGATGCGTGCATCTCACCTGGGCACCAACAATACCATTCCCGCCATAGAAATTCTTGGCATACATGTGCATAGAGCCACCCTTGCCTTTGGAAACACCACCCCTTCGACCTGAAATGGATTGTAAACATGTTCAAATGAGGGGTGGGTATTGATACACATTTCTTGATTTGATTCCTATTACAAGCTCTTGATTCAGTTTGATTTTGATTTGATATGCAAACAAACACTTTTATATTGGATGTGATTAATCGCGATTAATCGTTTGACAGCACTAATTCAGATTCATTTGGTATTTTTTAGTTACAGTCCATTTTGGATATGTAAGAAGTTCTCTCTCAGCTATTGAAACTCTTAAAGGGATACTTCACCCAAAAATGAAAATTCTGTCATTAATTTCTCAACCTGTCGTTCCAAACCCGTTCATCTTCAGAACACAAATTAAGATATTTTTGATGAAATCGAGAGCTCTCTGAGCCTCCATAGACAGCAACGGAACTACCAATTTCAAGGCCCAGAAAGGTAGTAAGGACATCGTTAAAATAGTCCATATGACATCAGTGGTTCAACCCTAATTTTATAAAGCTATGAGAATATTTTTTGTGCACAAAGAAAACAAAAATAACGATTTTATTCAACAATTTCTTCTCTTCCCTGTCAGAATTCGATGTGCGTTCACTACAGTACCACGACGTATACGTGTGATCTATCCCTTTAAATTTAAAAAGCAACAACAGGACGCAAACTATGCAGTTCAGTTGCTATTTATATACAGCTATATATAAACACTGTCGTTCAAAGTTTTTTACTTGTTAGTTTTTTAATGGGCTTTCTTATGTATTTGAAAGAAGTCTCTTAAGCTCACCATTGCTGCATTTATTTGATAAGAAATAGAGTAAATATTGTGAAATAACTGTAACATTTTTATTAAAGTACATGTTTTCTGTTTTAATATATTATCAGATGTGATTTATTGCTGTGATGTTTTTTTTTAGCAATCATTACTCCAGTCCTCAGAGTTGAATATCCCTTCAGAAATCATTTGAATTAGTGCTCAAGACACAGCATTGTAAAATAACACTTAATGAGGCTGTAGATTCAGCAGAAATGTGGTGTACACCACAGGCAGGGTAAAAGATCATTCTTGGGGTTTTAAGAATCAGGATGGAGATTGAGATTATTCAAATGCAGATTGTATTCTTTTGGAAAATCAAGATCTCTGATAAACTGCAGGATTTCTATTTTAATGCAGCTTTATGAAGAAAGTCCTCACCTGTGAGCTCTGCCATGATCTCTTTCACAGACACACCTCTGGTGTAGGTGTATCCATGACCCCTATATGCTGTGATCAGGTGATCCGTGGGATTGATACCAGCCTCAATGCCTACAGCACAGGCCTCCTTAGAGGTAGCAAAAAGATAAATAATTTTACAGTGACTGTGTGTAAATAGCTATTATAGACTTACAAGGCATTCGGTTTAGTCTTACCTGGCCATCATAAAGATGACAGAATCCTCGTATGATCTTCTGCTTGTACAGCTGATCTGCCTTTAGCTCCATGCGTCTCATGATCTGCATAGTGCGGTAGTACCTGAGTCCATCCTCTCTGGTGAGCACCGTCTGCACCGAAGGGCCTTCATCCAAGCGATGAAGGTCACATTTCTGAAATCAAACAAGTTCTTGAATGAACTAAGTTGTTTGTGCATGCTTTTAAGTTAATATGACAACTTTACCTTGATGTCAAAGCTGGCTTGAGGTGTCAAGTCAGCAAAAGAACGTGCTGATACCACAACTCTCGAGCCCTGGAGAAGAATAGAGTGCATTAATAAAACTGAAAAATTATTTTAAAACAGAAATACTGGCAGAATGCATTTAACTTGACAAGAACTGACTAAACGTTGAAAACCATTATGTGGACCCACAGTGAAACGTGCCACAAATGTACCTAAAATAAACACTACCATTAATTTATTTAAAAGAAATTAATAGTTATATTCAGCAAGGATGTCTTTAATTGGTCAAAGTGGCAGTAAAGAAATATAAATTGTTACAAAAATATATATTTCAAATAAATGTTCAACTTTCTATTCATCAATAAATACTGAAAAAAAGTATCAGTTTCCAAAAAAATATTAAGCACAACTCTTTTCAACAATGATAATAAGAAATGTTTCTTGAACACCAAATCAGCATATTAAAATGATTTCTGAAGGATCATGTGACACTGAAGACTGGAGTAATGATGCTAAAAATTCAGCTTTGCCTTCAAGGTAATAAATTACATTTTAAAATATATTAAAATAGAAAATAGTTATTTTAAATTTTAATAATATTGCACCAGAGATATATATTTTTTTTAATCTTACCAACCCCAAACTTTTAAACAGTAGTGTATTTGGTTGGCAAATTATAATAACTAAGATAGATCAGTTATATTCTTAAAAATTTGTAATCATAATTTTTTTAAAATGAGCTATAGGCAATAAATAAATAAATAAAAATATCACTAACTAACTAATTAATACTGGGGTGATTGAGCTGGTGTTGCTGGATCATTAAGGAGAAGTTAAGTGAGTGTAGAATCCAAACCTAATATCTTACCTCTGACACTGTTTGGGCACCCTATAAAACAAGCAAAAAGGTAGAAACATATTGCATTTACATACTGTAAATGAAACAAAGAATGATAACATAAATAGTAGAAAGACTACATATCAGAAAAAACCCACAATATGGTCCGTGTTGACATCCATGTCAGACCAAACAAATTATTATACCAATTCTCAGTTGCACTTGGACAGTGTCACAGAGTGTGAAAAGCTAAAAACAACCAATTATGATCATTTAACACAGAATAGAGTGACCGAAGCAGGGAAGACGCTGCAGTTTAATCAAGTCTGATCAATTCAGTGGCTATTTCATTTACAGTAAACATGACTCTGCATTTACGGTACACCATCTACAAGGTCGATGAGACTACAGAGATCTAGTTTAGCCTCGCTAAATCTTTTAATGCCTCTAAGCTAAACAGAGCTTGAATCTTTTGAATCTTGACGTCTCATTTACAGCAAACATATACATTATGATACCTACATTTATTTTGGCACCACCCTTAAGTGCGTTTGCTATCACTGTCAGCATGTTCTGCATACTCCAAAGCCCAGCCTGAGTATGTAGGAGTGTTTCAGGAGGATCAGCCCCACACAGTGAGCTGAAGCCAGAAACACTCACACTAGCTCAGCATGGCCGAGGATATAAAATAAAAATAAAAATATTAAATAAATATTCAAATAATATATATTGAAGTAATATAACAATTTTAAGTCATATTATGCACGTTTGTAATAATATGACAGATACAGGTACATTTTTGTATTTGTATTTTGTAAAAATAAACACACAAAAAAATAAATAAATAAATAAATTAATTAATAGAAAAGCAAATCAACTCTGAGAACAGTCTGACAGAATGACTTGAAGACAGAATGATCCTTATGGGAAATTATTTATAACAGATATAACATAACATATATAGACTGGATCTTCTTGCGGTTTGCAAATTAAGTTACTATATTTCTGATGGTTCTAGGAGTTATAGGCAGTAACAGGACTTTTATTTTGATGACTTGTAAAGAACGTCTTTTACGGTCAAGTTATTTTCGTACAAAATACAACAGTGCCACCAAGCGGTAAAGAGCAGTTATAGAAGAATTAATGTTGTCTTCTCATGGATATTTTATTTCTCATTTTCACCCACCTGTTTGGCTATGCCCTCTAGTAATAAAAATAGATAGACTCGATTTTTTTTTATTATTTTTGAAAATGTTTGTCATATGATTTAATTATTAAAATAATGTAAAATAATAGCCTATAATATGTATGAAATAACTAAATATTTCGATTTTTCCCAAAGTATAACTGTTAAATTACAAATGAATACATAATGCTATGAATAATATTAATATTTGAAAATAAGATTTTTTTAATTTTAATATTCTTTTAAAGATTTGTTTTCTTTCGTTTTTCTATCTCATGGTCATGGAAATATATCTTTATATCACTTCCAAACACATTTTGCCAGCATTTTTTTTTGTAGCCTATGAATTTTTGTTTCTCAGTGTGCAAATTTGACTATTCAAAAAAATAAAAAAATTGGAAGTAAACAAAAATGTTAAATATTTTTTCCAAACTTAATATTGCTAGGTGCAATGTGTAATATCTACATCGATCTATTGACAGAAATGCAATATAATATACATAACTATGTTTTCAGAGGTGTATAAAGACCGTACTTAATGAACCGTTATGTTTTTATTACCTTAGATTGAGCAATTTATATCTACATACACCGCGGGTCCCCTTACATGGAAGTCGCCACCATGTTTCTACAGTAGCCCTAAACGGACTAACTGCTCTTCACAGCGCGTTTCGTCACTTTGTTGTTCTTGCGAATAAAACACTGACACAATGATGAACAAGTACATTAATATTCGCAATAACATCGATTTATTAAATAATGAAGTAAACATAATTCCTTAATTTACCTTTGTAAAGAAATCGCATTGCTCTCTGCTCTTTACCGACGACATCTTAGTCCTGTATCGGCCACCGTAGATTCTCTAAAGGGAGGGGTGAGCGGGGGACTGAGCCGTTGGTTGCAATTCGCAACTTCACCGCTAGATGCCGCTAAAATTTACACACTGCACCTTTAAGTCATTGTTGAACTTTTAATTGAAAACAAAGGTTTATTTACATAATATGTATGTTAAATTTAGCTAACAGAATCAGCAGATTATTTAAATATAGTCATTTATGATAAAACATGTCATAAGCGAAAAACCATAGACATTTTCGAAACAGTTAAAAGCTGGGCATGATGTGATCCCTTAATACAGTCTATGTGTGATCCTTAATAAATGTACAGAAATCTAACCAAAAACAAGCCGAAAGAAACCGCGTTGTAAACCCACCAAACGTACTAAATAGATTAATATCACAATAAAGCTAACATTAGTAATCGCAAGAGTAATATTTTGCACTGTATGAAAAAGCAGGCGCTTGTCTCCTCTCTTACGTCAGCGGCGGAAGGTCAGCGCTCAAACGGAAGTGAGAGTCAGAGCCCGTCCGCCATTGTGGAGCAGAGCAGGGGTAATATTCTCTCCAGACGTTACACAGTGTGAATGTTTCGGACTAACTTAAACACATCACACAGCAGCAACCTCCCACAGCCGTTTGACTTTCGCTGTCAGTATCGCCGAGAGGACCGCTGCCGACCGTTTGAAACCGGGCGAGGAGATCAACGCCTGAGAAATACGCTTTGATTATAGGACAACCCGGAGAGAGGAAAAACAACGTGAACCCGCAGCGGTGGCAGGAGAGACAGCCGTGGACAGTCATAACAGCGATCAGCTCGGGCTCCAGGAGAATGTCTGCGACAACTGTCGATCAGGTTCCATCTATATACGTTAACTATATAACGTTAAGCATGATAGTGCATGTACAGGTTGTGGCTGTGTTTTAAAACCTAGTGAGCTGCCTACCCAGACAGCATTACTGGCGCGCTTGGAAAGAATAAACGTTTCAAAACAAACTAACGCACAGTAAGGCTCTTCATTATGTTGTAAAACTCAGCCAACGTCAATCATAGTCAAGCCGTTTCTCCACAAACTGGGAGTCTTGGGTATTTGATAGCTGTTTCTGCTAGGCCGAATCACTGTATCCATGTTGTGTTCGTGATAAATTGATGTTCATAGTGTGTTTTTTTGTGTGTCTTTTTGTCACTGCCTGCACACTTTGAACCCAAAATCAGAGACCTAAAGGACAAGGAAACAAAGGTATGTGATGAAAAGATTCGTTTTCTGTCCACTTTTAAAGGGACAGTTCACTCAAACATTAAATTTCTGTCATCATTTACTCACCCTCATGTTATTATAAACCTGTATAACTTTGTTCTGTTCTTCTGTGAAACACATAATGGTTGGGCCATACACCTTAAGTCAGCATTCACTTTAATTACATTTTTTTCCATGCCATAAAAATGAATGGTGACTGAGGCCATCATTTAGCCAAAGAAAGTCAAATGGACAACATGTGGATGAGAAATTTCATTTTGTGTGAACTGTCTCTTTAAGGGGTGTTCGGTTTACCGATGTGTTTCTCGCCATCTCACTTGTGTGCATTAATAATTAGTCACTCCTTCTGTGAATCATATTTTATGTAGTAGACCAGTCTTGATATTAATCTAGCTCGCTATGTGACTTCATAGTCGTGACTTTGACTGATGAAGCAATTTAGAGTTTTTAATATGCTTTTACTTGTTGTTCTTGCTTAGACATAATCATTTCCAAGTGTAATTTACTTTTGCTGTGTGTCATTATTTCTTATCAACATCATGGTGCACTGAACTAAGTAAAACTAACTGACACACTGTCTCTCTCTGTCTTTGGTATAATTTTGCTTAGTGCCAAACGGTTCGATGCATCAGAAGGATACTGTAAATGATGATGACTTTGACAATTACCTGAGCAGCCAGACAAATCAGGTGAGTTTTTGTCCTTATACTGTCATATTAGTTGTCAGTACTATGAAAATATTAGTATTGCTATTTTTTTATAATTTCATTTCAGTGTTCCATTACATTAAACTGTGGTAAATATGTAACAAATTATTGACCTCTTCCATATTTTATTATTTGTTGATACTTAACATCTATATTGTATATTACAATTCAAAACTGTAGTCTGTGAGATTTTTTAAATTAAAGAAGTCTCTTACACTCATCAAAGCTGCATTTATGGATTAAAAATACATTAAACAATGGTAAGATTGTGAAATATTATTATAATTTCTGCAGTGTCACATGATTCTTCAGAAATCCATCTAATATGCTGATTTGGTGCTTAAGAAACATTTATCATTATTATCAATGTTGAAATCAGTTGTGCTGCTTAATATTTTTGTGGAAATTGACATTTTTTTCAAGATTCTTTGATCAATAGAAAGTTTAAAAGAACAGCAATAATTGAAAATAGAAATCCTTTGCAACATTATAAATGTCTTTATTTTTGATCAATTTAGTGCATCCTTGGTGAATAAAAGTATTAAATTCTTAAAAACTTTGAACGGTAGTGTGTTGGACACTTTTTTCACTGATTATGTTTTATGTTTTTATCTTTATTTAGCCACTGGTTTGTTACATCATCATTACTGACTTCTCTTTAATTACCCCCTACAGAGTAATAGTTACCCACCAATGTCTGATCCCTACATGCCCAGCTATTATGCTCCCTCTATCGGATTCCCTTACTCCCTGGGAGAGGCTGCTTGGTCCACCGCAGGAGATCCGCCTATGCCTTACCTGACCACGTATGGACAGATGAGCAATGGTGAGCATCACTTCATTCCCGACGGAGTCTTCAGCCAGCCTGGTGCTTTGGGCAACACGCCCCCTTTTCTCAGCCAACACGGATTTAACTTCTTTCCTGGAAATGCAGACTTTTCCACCTGGGGCACCAGTGGTTCTCAGGGACAGTCTACACAGAGCTCAGCATACAGCAGCAGTTACGGATATCCCCCGAGCTCATTGGGACGGGCCATTGCTGACGGACAGGCCGGATTTGGCAGTGACTCGCAACTTAGTAAAGTTCCAGGGCTCAGTAGTATCGACCAGGGAATGACCGGGCTCAAGCTCGGCTCCGACATGTCGGCGGTTACAAAAACGGTTGGTTCTCCTTTAGGTGGGATGGTGGGTATGAGTAGCATGGCTGCCAACATCATGCCACCCGTCAGCTCCTCCGCACCAAAACCCACCTCGTGGGCTGCCATTGCGAGGAAACCGGCGAAACCTCAGCCCAAGTTGAAGACGAAGCCCAACATGGGTTTGGGAAGCGGTGCCACAATTCCTCCTCCGCCGATAAAGCATAACATGAACATTGGGACCTGGGAGGACAAAGGCTCCATCACCAAACCCCCTCTTGTGCAGCAGATGCTCCCGCCTCAGCCCTTGGTACAGCAGCATCTCTTGGCCCAACCTCAGCCCATGCTACAGAGTCCATTGCCTCATCAACCCCAACACCAGCAGCTCCAGCTACAATCTCCCCAGCACCCTCAGCAGCTGCCTCCAGGTCCTCCCCACCCTCACCATCACTCGCAACCAGGTCCCCCGCAGCCCCTGCACCCACCTCAGGTGCAGAACCCCCCACCCCAAAATCGCTGGGTGG